AGCAGCCCGCGAGGCAAGAATTCGCTGCGTGTGCCGATTGTGAGGGCTTCAGCATGAGCAGCAGCAGCAGTATCCTTATTGTTGCTTGCTGCTTCTGCCTTTGCTGCAGCAACAGCAGCGATATGGCTAAGAAGCGCTGCATGCAGATGTCTTTGTTTTGGACTGTGCTGCTGCTGCTGCTGCTGCTGCTGCTGCTGCTGCTGCTGCTGCTGCTGCGACAGGGCCCGCAGGTCGCAGGGCCTCGAGCTCCGCCCATCAAAAAAATCAGCAAAGAAGGTCCGGCTGGAAGCAGCAAACCCCCGCGGCTGCAGCGTCACCACAGGCAGGGGTGGGGGCAGCCCCCTCCGCAGCAGCGGCTCTTCCTCTTCCTCTGCTGCTGCTGCTGCTGCTGCTGCTGCTGCTGTTGCTGCTGCTGGTGGTTTTGCTGTCTCCTGTAGCTGCAAAGGCTGCAACGTTATTGGGTAAATGGTGAAGGGGCCCCAGGACCTGCTGCGCCCCTCTCTTAGAGCTTCCTCAAGACAAGCATCGTCTGCTGCTGCACAGCAACTCTTGCTGCTGCTGCTGCTGCTGCTGCTGCTGCTGCTGCTGCTGCTGGTGCAAGCGGCACCAAGAAGGGCCTCGTGTAGCAGCTGCTGCGTCTCCAGCGGCAGCAGCAGCAGCCGGTCGGGAGACACAGGCAGCATAGCCAGCAGCTTGGCTTGTATGAGGAAGTTGGGGAGCAGCAGCTCGGATCTAGCTGCTGCTGCTGCTGCTGCTGCTGCACCTGCCGCTGTTGTTGTTGTTGCTGCTGCTGCATCTGCTGTGTCTTCATCCGCAGACAATCCATACTTGAAACGCAGCACGTGCTGCTGCAGCAGCGGCAGCTCTAGGCGCACGCGCTGCGACAGCAGCAGCAACTCTGCTGCTGCTGCCCAGCAGAGCTCCTCTTCTTCCTCTGCCTCAGCAGCAGCAGCAGCATCCAAATCTCCTGCAGCAGCAGCAGCAGCAGCAGCTGCTGCTGCTGCTGCTGGCCTTTTGTGAACGTGAAACAATATAGCCAGCATATCTCTAGGGTACAGGCACACCTCTTGTCTGCTGCAGCTGCTGCAGCTGCCGCTGCGGAGAAGAGCAGCAAGAGCCCTAGGTGATGAGCTAGCGAGCCTGGGTGTGGTGCCT